TACACAGTAAATGAAAATTTACATTAAAAATAAGTGACAAACTGTAAGATTAAATGAAATAATTGAATATTCTCTGCCAGGCTTGCTTATATTACAAAGTGGGTAAGGGCCTTCACCTGTATGCAGAGAGTCTGGGGTTATAAATCTCTTTGGAAACTATTTTATTTTTTTATTTTTCAAGAATTGGTTAAAAATAAAGAAATGAAATTTTGAAAACTCTAAATTTGTGGCGTGGTGATGTAATACTTATGGCGTCATGTGGTGTGGAGAAAATCAGAAGTACGTCACGGAGGTCGAGGTGAAGGGGGAGAATCAAGCAAAATCCACTGTTGATTCACCCTGGTGCATAATGTGCCAATCAAAGTATAACTTCAAACGTATAACGAGTTGACTTCTAAATAAAATGATCGACTGTCACAGGAGCGTGACCGTTGCAGACAGTGCAGAGATAGAGGTTAAAAAAGTATAACGAGGTTAAAAACAGACATGCAGAATGCAGACGCACATGCAGACAAACATACATTCAGTAGAGTTGGTATTACTAGAATCATTAATATGAGTACAACGAGGAATACATATCATATGAATTTTTGGGTCAAACTTTCGATGGAAGTGTAAGGAAAAATAGTATACTTACGTATAACAGTCGAAAAGTGGGGCTACTATTGACCACGCATTACCGATGATATAGCGTGGACAGTAATAGCCCCACTTTTTGGCATATGTACGAAATATACTATAATTGCAAAAAAATTTTTTTAAATAATTATTCCTTAGTAGTTTTAAACCCTTAAAGGTTTAACGATTATCTTATTTTATTTATTATAAGCTCCAGTGTGACAAAGTGCCAATTAATAGGCTTTTGGGACCAACAACTATTTTACAGCATGATAAGAAACGAACTGCACTTTTTAGCATTATTGTGTATGTATATTTACTTTACAGCTTATTATTTGACTGAATAAACTGCATGGATTCTTAAAAAAATTTTTTTTTAATTAGAAGAGTTCTATTCCAAGGAGTCTCAAGAATAGATGCAAAATTTTTACTGAAAACGTTTTACATTACATGTCAACACACTAAGGTGCTCCACTCAGTTAATCTCGGGCGAAGCTAAGACGGGGGGAAAGGTGCTTGTAACAATTAACTATCTTATGCGAGTAGACGTTAAGCTATTTTAAGTTCAGAATCTCGAATCGTTGGCTGCTATATTTTATGGACACAGTTGAAGCCCTTCTTTTTCTCATCTCTTACGGTACTCAACAATACTCAAGCAAATTTATTACTGTACATCAGCATAATTAACATTTAAATCATTAGTTTATTTTATCGATTTACTGTTACCATTTTTTTTTTAATTTAATTAAATTAAGTATCCCACAATGCTCCATGCATTTCAACGATCTGAAAGAGGAAAAATTTCTCACAGTTGGTGGTTCCGTCTTCTCGATGTCAGAAAATAAAGCCTTTTTGGAATATTCTATAAGTAAAAAATGTGAAGAAAACAGATCTAAAATACGTTGTAGTAAATATTTATTGTACCAGATGAGCTCTTGTTTGTCAGGTAAGATGTTTGTGTGTCAGATTTTGTTGACAAGCAAATTAGTCTATGTATGCTCTTACATAACGATTGAAAGTTTTTTAATTATAATGTGTCTTGTAAGAAAACGGTACTAAAAAGTTTAATAGGGATGAACTGTAATAGGAGATGAAATTTAAAAAAAATTATGTAGATAAGTGGTCCAAATACACTTTCAGACAATACTTTGTATATTACATGTATTATCATTATTTATGGAAGATTTCAGTGTATGATGTTGTTGAAGAATATTACATGTTCGTTGTTTACGTGATTTTGAATCTAATAGTTGTAAAGAAGTATGACCATTATTATCTTGATACAAATATGAGGGACTGTTACCTTGCATGATGAAGTTTGTGCGTTGATAAAGAACATACTATATTATTATCATACTAGTTTACCAGTAATAAAACGACTAACATTTTTTATTTTATGTTCATATAACAGAAAAATCTTAAAAATTATCTGTACAATCGCAGTAGATAACATGAGTTTACAATAAAATAATATATATTAGAATAAAAAAATATGCTTTAGCTTCCATTTGACGCTATAAATTAAAAAAGTAAAACATCCATATGATTTTAATATCTATAGTAAGAAAACATTTTTTCATATTGCATATACGTCTTTGTAATCTTAAAAAATTAGACTGATCACAATTGACGATGGAAATTACATCTTTACTTGTATTTATCAAATGTTTTTGGTATAAAATATAATATTGATTACAATTCTACGATTGTAGTCGTTTAAATATTGATATTTACAATGAAATATTGTGAGGGTTTACCTTTTTTACTGGGTTTTTGTTTAATCCGAAGTTGCAGCGTTTATCGAACTGAATAAATCTGTCATCTCATTGGATTTAATATTATATCGATTGGTCTGTCAGCAACATGATAAGTTTCTTGTTAGGATGATTGTGTAGATGTTTGACAATCTAGATTTTTATCAAAATCAATAAATAAGTGCGTTACTTCTACTTAAATAAAAAGCAACGCTGGTTTGGCTTTTGCTTACGTAAGCACTACTCTTTGTGTCTATAGATAGTGAAGTAATATACTATACAAACATATAAATAAGTGACATTCAGTAGCAGTTCTTCTTTGTATTTGTGGTTCAATATGTTATTAGTCAACTTGGTTATAACATTTTCAGTTTTGACTACGGTTTTTAGTAATAAACTATTTATTAGCCAATATAGTATTAACTTTATAATAGATTTGCAAAAGTCTCATAAAATAACCAAGGTCATAATTCTTCACAATGAAAATGAAAGTAAGTGTTATAAAAAATAAATTTGTATTCATTAATTTTAACCATGAAAATTTCTATATACATTTTTAAAAACTAGACACGAACGTCGTGATGGGCCTGATAAAACAACTTTCACAAGTACAGCTTTACTCGATGGCCGTAAGAGAGTCCAAGTTGTCTGAAAAATTTTCTAAAGTCAAAAAAACTTCAAAATTGCTGTATGTAGTACTGTTAAGAAACGATAATGACTATAACAGTTTTCTGAATTTTATGATTACGGCAAATTCAACTCACTACATATGGCTGGTAGTATTCCATTCATCTATGAAACAACAGATGCTTAATTTCTGTCGTAATTCAAAAGAAAAACAAGTAGGATTAGACATCGACTCATTAATTTCAGTAAAATGTGGAGAAGATGAAATAATAATAGAATGGACTTCCACGCTTTTGAAGAACAATTTGCCGCTACTAGAATTTATGAAATGGAGTCATCAAGCAGGTCTAAGTGCTAAAAAACATTCTAATTCAGTTAATAATCAAAAAAATCTGACTAGTACCTTAATTAGAGTTGGTGTATTTCAAGTAAGAAATGTTTTTATTATTAGTTACTTTTTTTCCGTATTTAATACACATTTTTATTTTTTTGTTATAATAAGCTGGACCAGCTGTACCTTGACGGAAAGGAGAATCACAAATATGTGTTATTTAAAAAAATAATTGAAGAGATAGCATTAGTTATGAATATGGTTATAGATTACAAACCAGTTGTTCCCTATAAAGTGTGGACTGAGACAGATCATAAGTGGCGAGGACTCTTGGGAGGATTACATAATAATGAAATCGATATTGCTGCTGAAGAAATGATTATGCGCAGTAGTAGGTTAGATGCGTTTGACTATTCTATTCCAGTAGTTGATTCTGAATCAAGGCTGTATATAAAGACGCCAAAGAGTAAACGCTCACTGTGGAATGCTTACATAAAGGTATGAAATTAATATTTGATAGACGCTTTAGGTAAAAAACTATCACAAACAGACTTAGGAAAATTTTTAAACGTTCGCGGTCTCTTACAAAAACTCCCTTTTCGTTAAACTTAGAAAAAACCTATCACCTTCTGCTTAGCTGGGAAATGGAGAAATACCATTGATTTGAGGAGTGAGTACTAAGGCTAATAAAATTCGGTAGATTGAAAGAAAGACAAGTATATTTTACTGTCGGTCAGAAGAGTAAGTTGATAGGAATTTTGTAATAAAAAGTAACACAACACACTTGAAAAATTGACAAGTATGACTATTAAAACATAATACTGGCTTTTTCCTGACATTAAAAAAATTTTAAAAATTGAGTTTCTATTGAAAAACACTTATTTTGAAATTGTAATCAACTTTTAATGATACTAATGTTTAATACAAAATTTTTTAATAGGATTTTTATCTCATATAGAGTACACTTTTAAATTACACTCCGTACGAGTGTATGCGTTCTCTTCACACACGAATATGCAAACTCCATACCAACTAAGCTCACTATTTCTGTCAAAAGTTTTACTTAGTGGATTTAATTATGGGCACATGAATTTCTTACATTCACCATTTTTGGTAGGAGCTTTAGTTTTAACTGCAGACACAAAGAAATCAGTTGTTACCATTTATAACTTTTGTTCAACACTTTATCTCATAATATCATGATACTACTAGCTATTACTTTCTGATCCTTTAATCTTGATAAAAAAAGTTTATCGCTCCAATAAGAAGCTTTTGGAATAAGAAGCTAATTTTATCTGACTATAGCTGAGTTGGGATTGGCAACCTAGCGTTCGTGACATCTGTTGCTGAGTTTGGAAGCAGCGAGACAAGGCTTTTTAGCAGGCTCAAATCTCAATCATCGCTCCAAAGTGTAGTTAATGTATTCCTTATCAAGATTAATTAATTGTTGTGACAGTGTACGTAATAAGAAGGTTAACTAAGAGTGTATTTTGAACATTGCTATAACATTGTTGACAAAGTAACTGACTCACCAATTTTTATTCCTCTTGAATTTTAAAAAGATTGCGCTGGTATACTCACTCAAGGGACTGTGTAGTGTATTTTTTAAAATACATATTAAATTATATTATATTATAAACTTGTTGCAAAATAACAAAGCTGCCTGAGTGTGCTTGCATTTTTCACTTAATCCACCTTGCAAGTATATGTCATATGTAATATTTGACCACGCTTATGTATTGCTCCAAAAATTTTGAGAGGTTCATCTTTAATATCAACTGTTTTTAAACAAAATCTCACAATTTACAAAAAAATCTTTCCATCTGATAACTTGTGACATGTTATGTGGCCAAAATGTAAAGAGGATTCCCCTTTAATAAAATTCCTGCTAGCTGATATGCAATTTCCAATCTTACTTATTTCGTCGATTGTTAAATACATTCTTGCTAACAAATTGCTAACTAATACATGTAATTTGTAATTTTAAAAACTAACTACACAGTCTCTATTAAGTATATATGCCAGTGTAAACATTTTAAAACTTAAGAGGAATAAAAATTGGTGAGTCAGTTACTTTGTCAACAATGTTACAGCAATGCTAGAGATACACTTTTAATTAACCTATTTATTACATACTCTGTCACAAAAGTTAATTAATCTTTATAAGAAATAAATTAGTTACACTTTGGAGCAATAATTGAGTTTTGAGTCTGCCAAAAAGTCTTCTCTCGCTGCTTCCGAAAGATGTCCATGTTCCAACAGATGCCACGACCGCCAGGTTGCCCATCCCATTGTCATAACTCGCAGGAAATAAATTGACACTGAAGTTACTTTTGGTAGTGTCCTAAAAGTTTAGTGTAACTGCTTTCGTACTCTAAGTATAGATAATTCCAAAAACCAGAAGGCAGATCCCCGGTTAATTTATGTACAGATTTCTATTGGGATATCAAAAGGTCACGTGACTCTCGCGGTATATATAGTCACTTGTGGGAAAAATAACACAGGCCTAATGGATATCATTTTATTTTTATTTTTTTTTTACTCGTTGAACGATTGTAATACGATAAAAGTTTTTCAATAACATATTTTTGAGGAGATGACAATACCTTAGCTATTTTTTCCCAACTCAATTAGTCTTTTGCAGCTTAAAATTTTCCTTTGTAAGCGCAAAAACGCACATTTTACCTTACTATAATTCTGCACTGAAAATAAAAAGCGGTTAGTATAGCTTGGATGCACGGCTACTTTAGCTTAATTGACCTAAGCAGCTACTGTTAGGCTAGGTTAGCCTGAGAGCCAAGCAGAATCTGCTTGGCATCTCAGGCCAACGTGCCGAAGTATACACAGTACTCAGCTATTCCACATTTTTATCTCTTTCTACTGTGATAACTAGGAAAGTGCAAACCTCGCTAAGATCTGACATCTCAAAGTCAGACTGCATCGTCAGACCAATCTTAATTTTTTTTGGTTTACTTACACAATTACTTGCTATAATGATATCATCTACACATGGAATCGTGATTAAAAGGTTAACTTTTTCTCTCCATGCGTAATGGCATGGTTCACTGGTGTGCGTTTGTAATACTAGTTTCAGTGCAGCCACACGAAAACACTCGTTCCATTTTGTCAAGCTGATCTTGAGTCTATAAAGGGCTTTTTCTAAATTGCGTACTTCATTTTTCTTAAGTTTATCTTCGTCAAATAGACCTTCGGAAATTTCAATATATATTTCTTCCTTGATTGAACTGTTCATGAATGCTGTCTTGACATCCAGTTGACAAGTTTCTAGATTAAATTGATTAAAAGTTGATATTACCAATCTCACAAGACCCAACCTAAATACAGGAGCATAAGTCTTTTTCAAGTCGTACTTATTTCTATCTTTAAATCCACGAATTACTAACATCACTTTACACTTCGTAGTTTCTATCTTCGTCTATCTTCTTCTTCAGGACTCGTCTGAAATCTATGATGTTCGGCTTGCTTTCTTCAACATTCATGGTTGGTCTATCTACAATTTTTCATACTTAATTTTATGCATCGATTCTAATTTTTCGTCAATTGTTCTAAAGTTTTCTTGAATAAGCTCTTTATTTTTCCTCGGTCATCCTCATTTTCTCTTGACTCCTTGTTCTCCCTCCGTTTCTAATGATACTTCAAGATTATCTTTACCAAACTTCATGAACTATTCTTCTTGTTAAATGTCTATCTTATGATTATTTCAGTTCGCTATTTTGTCATTTCCCCAAATATTTCTAGATACAAGTCTTTCGAGAAATCTTAGACCTGGAATCTCATAAAATTTTCCATCCTCTGGTCTTAGGAAAATGTAGCCGGTAGTAGTATAGCCAACCAGTACTACTTGTATACCTTATAGGCAGAATTTTGTTTCAGTGTTTCTTTGTATCTTAATAAAAACCACACAACCAAATCTTATTTAATTTATTTCTTTAGTTTTGGGGTAAAATTTTCTAAGGGAGCTGTTATTTTGTTGGACAGGTGTGGTGTGATTATATGTATATACTGCAGCACCCAAGGTTAAATCCTACATGCTCTCCCCAAACCCAGAGTCATATATGTAGGTTCACACTTTTTCCTGCAATGTGCAATTGATTTGTTCTGAAACGCCATTGTGTTGAAAAGTGCCTGAACAGGCCAGTTGAGACTCAGCTCCCAGTCTCTGGAGAATTTTCACTGTTCGACCTCCTGCAAACTCTGTGCCTTGGTCAGTTCTTTAATATCACATCTTTGCATCAAAGCCCAGTAGATTTCGAGCGCTGGTCGCAAATTTGTCCATATAACTTCTTGCTTCACTTTTCACTTTCACAGGGTATGCTATCGTCAGTATTAAGTAGTCGTCCGTACATACTATCATAAATTTGTATCTTTTAGGATAAGTTACCGGACTAATCGGTTCCATTGCGTCGGCGTGAGCTATTTCAAGTGGTTTCGATGCTCTTTCTCTCTTCTAGTGTTAAAAGGTAATTTTTAAATTTAAGCAATGTGAGACACCTTGCATAATGCAACGAAGTTACAGACTTATTCAAATCTTTATTGTCCAAAAACTTTCTTTACAATGGCTTAAGATATTCCTCCGATGAATACCCGAATTTTGCGTGTCAGGGCATGGCTCTGCTATTTCTGTTAAATATTTTATACGTTTATGTAAAGGGACTTCAAGCCTCTGAAATGACATCAATCATTAGTTTCTTACTATCATTAATTTTTCTATCTTTAATGGTTTTCTCAAACTCATTTTGTTGAGAGGTATCTAAGCAATCGTTTTGAGATCCATTGTCTGGGATTATAGGTCAGCTCTCACTATAATTAGTACTGACTTACTGAGCCTTCTCGGCTATAGCCGCAGGAGTACTTTTTATCATTAAGCAGTCTATAACTTCTTTACACTTCTTGTTGTTGCTTGTACTCTGACTATCTTGCACTAGTTCCTCTATCTAATGAAGACTCTATAGGTACCAGAAATTAACGCCTCGTTAGAGCGTGTGTCAAATACATTTATCTTAGGGTTGTCTAAATAGATACACAGACCTGTATCAACAAGCTGACGAAGCGACAGCAAGTTTCCAGCAAGCATAGTGGCGCATATTACTCTATCTAGGACCATTTTGTTTTTGTTATTACTACCCGAAACCCACCTTTCTCCCTCCACTCTCAAGCCCACGGAGGAATTTTTATTCGCGAATTTATTTAATTTTCTTTCATAAATTTGTAGCTTCTTCCGTGCGCCTAAAGAGCAAAGTTTCGGGTCCAATAATAAACATACTACTCCATGCATTAGATCTAAGTAATTGTATATTACTTTTACCTTCTTTATCCTTGACGTAAATATTTATAGGACAAGCTATTCTCGCTTTTAAACGGTCTATTAGAATCTGCAATTTTTACATCTGGTATTTTATTGACAATCTTGTGGTAAAAGCCATCTCTTTTCTCATCTTTAAGAAAACTCTGAGTTTTACTAACAAGTTCAAAATCCATCAAAGTCCATTTAAAATCCATTTTAGTCGATCGAAGAATTCGCAAAATTTAGTATAACTTTGCTTTGTGGGATCAAATTTAACAGTGTGAGTTTTGTTGTGTATTTGATACACCTTCATCTGTATTTCACTTCTTTTCATATCATTAATTTTTGTACTATTACTGTGGGATTAGTAATAAAGTACACTCTGTTTTAATAATCTAGAGATAATCTACCTAGTATTAAATTTAAAGTCTGTTCTTTATCTTCAATCAACTTTTAAATCTCCTAAATATCTTTTTTGTAGGCTCCTTTAGTCAGTTATATTTTAAGATCATTATTTTTGCCCGCCATTTTTTTATACAAATTATCTATTGGTTTCTTTAAACTATCTTTTCTATCTCTAAGATCTTTTAATATGCTATCTATAGATTATTTTCTTTTTCAAATAATTAATGTGCAATCTTGTGAAAATAATCTTGTATCAATCAAATCCATTTTTCTATTTTTATATTTTTAATTTGCGCTCTTGTTAAAATAATTTTGTATCAATCAAGCCTATCTTTCTATTTTCAAATCTTTGCTATTTTTAGTTGAGGTATCGTCAAAACTATGTTTCCATTTTTCAAATCATTGATTTGCTATCTTGATAAGATAAGAATCAAATCTATCATATCATTTGAAAAATTTTTAATTTTCTATTTTGATAAGGTATCAATCAAATTTATCTTTCTATCTCTTAAATCTTTATTCTTGTGTTTGGATGAGATATCAATCAAATTTATTTCTTTATCTTTCAAATCCTTATTTTTGTCTTTAGATGAGGTATCAATAAAATTTATTTTTGTATCTCTTAAATCTTTAATTGGCTATCTTGCTAAAGGTTCCCTTTGTTTACGTCTATCTTGAATTTTTGTTTGCACATGACTTATTGCATTCAAATCTTTTATCCTTAATCTATCTAAAGAACCTTTAACTGGAATGTGCTGCTTGTGTTTAGGGATAGTGTGAATTATACCTCCACGTTTTTCCATTGAATTAAACTGATCTCCTGTATCATTATCATCACTCGTATCTCCTATAATACCTCAGATCGAGTTATATATATTATTTTCCAGTGACCAGTCGAACACAAGCTTTGTCACTAGGAAACATGAGCAAGCACGCACACACGAACTCAATACATGCGCACTACCCATGGAACGAGATACAGCAGATGACTTAAGCATGCGAGTGCAACATGTCTTAAGTCATACACAATAGCAGCACAATTCCAACGCGATCGAGCATAATCGTATTTATAACAAGCACAAAATAATAATGTCTCTTTAATATGATACCTTATAGTTAGACGAAAACAGGGCTACGTTTTCACTACTTGTCACGATCACTTCTTTAAATTTTTTTAGAACGAAGTTCTTTATGTCGCGTACTCGGGGGGCTGGAATTTTAAAACCGACAGATTTTTTTTTTGAAACGGAAGTCTCTTCCTCTCAAGTTTCCCCCCTTACCCCGTCCCCCTCACCTGCTGTTCTCTACACACTTCCCCTCTCCCCACTAGTATAGCCAACCAGTACTACTTGTATACCTTATAGGCAGAATTTTGTTTCAGTGTTTCTTTGTATCTTAATAAAAACCACACAACCAAATCTTATTTAATTTATTTCTTTAGTTTTGGGGTAAAATTTTCTAAGGGAGCTGTTATTTTGTTGGACAGGTGTGGTGTGATTATATGTATATACTGCAGCACCCAAGGTTAAATCCTACATGCTCTCCCCAAACCCAGAGTCATATATGTAGGTTCACACTTTTTCCTGCAATGTGCAATTGATTTGTTCTGAAACGCCATTGTGTTGAAAAGTGCCTGAACAGGCCAGTTGAGACTCAGCTCCCAGTCTCTGGAGAATTTTCACTGTTCGACCTCCTGCAAACTCTGTGCCTTGGTCAGTTCTTTAATATCACATCTTTGCATCAAAGCCCAGTAGATTTCGAGCGCTGGTCGCAAATTTGTCCATATAACTTCTTGCTTCACTTTTCACTTTCACAGGGTATGCTATCGTCAGTATTAAGTAGTCGTCCGTACATACTATCATAAATTTGTATCTTTTAGGATAAGTTACCGGACTAATCGGTTCCATTGCGTCGGCGTGAGCTATTTCAAGTGGTTTCGATGCTCTTTCTCTCTTCTAGTGTTAAAAGGTAATTTTTAAATTTAAGCAATGTGAGACACCTTGCATAATGCAACGAAGTTACAGACTTATTCAAATCTTTATTGTCCAAAAACTTTCTTTACAATGGCTTAAGATATTCCTCCGATGAATACCCGAATTTTGCGTGTCAGGGCATGGCTCTGCTATTTCTGTTAAATATTTTATACGTTTATGTAAAGGGACTTCAAGCCTCTGAAATGACATCAATCATTAGTTTCTTACTATCATTAATTTTTCTATCTTTAATGGTTTTCTCAAACTCATTTTGTTGAGAGGTATCTAAGCAATCGTTTTGAGATCCATTGTCTGGGATTATAGGTCAGCTCTCACTATAATTAGTACTGACTTACTGAGCCTTCTCGGCTATAGCCGCAGGAGTACTTTTTATCATTAAGCAGTCTATAACTTCTTTACACTTCTTGTTGTTGCTTGTACTCTGACTATCTTGCACTAGTTCCTCTATCTAATGAAGACTCTATAGGTACCAGAAATTAACGCCTCGTTAGAGCGTGTGNTTTTTTTTTTTTAAATTTATTTATTTTTTTTCTTTATTTCTTGTTTTATTTTTTTACATTTCTTGTTTTTTTTTTTTTCATATTTTATTTTATAACATTTTTTTTTATTTTTTTCTTTATTTCTTGTTTTTATGTTCTCCTCCAATCTTTTATATACTTCTGACAGCGTATCCAGTGAGTTCATATTAAAAACATTTTCTGCCTGTTATTATGATGTGCTGACGCGCATCATACCGAAAATAGAAATTTTAAATTTCGGCATTTTGGTTTGAGTCGGCATTTACCTCTAGTCTAAGCGTAAAAATCCACGGAGCGAATCGAGGCCGCACTATACGGGAACTTGGAAAAATAAACAAGTCTATGTTAGATGGCAGCTCTATGCGTGCCATCAGCTAACAAACTTGCTAAAAGGAATACATACGCCCGGTCTGACTGAACGCAAGTCATGGCCGAAACAAAAGTCCCTTTCCCCGCTTTGAGGCGTCCCCCTCAGTGGTAGCTATATCTGTAGTAACTAAATTAAAATCTTCGTATTCTAATGTAATCCTGCCTCATGCGAGGGAAAACACGTGCCGACTCATGACCTTTGAGAATTACAGAGTACTAGCTGTATTAAACACTTCACAAATCCTATTTACTGTCATATTTATCATACCTCTAACATCTATTATTACCACTTTTATACAATTTAGGCTTCGAAACAACGAAAAACAAAACACGTTATGTCAACATAACGACCAATAAAGACTTTATAAGTATCATTATCAATTACTTACTTTCTTTCTTCTGTATATATTTCACTATCTTTTTCACCCTGCCAGCTATCACCTCCCCGATCTGCTCGATCTCACTGGTGGCTGATGTCACCCTCAACTCCGACTCGTCCATGGCCTGTAAATAGCCTGTAAGAAAACAGGGTAAGAAAACGCGGAAGGCAAAAAGAATGCGAGTGAACACGGGATGGGCTCGATCAGAGAGGAAAAAAATGACGGCTAGGGAGGTCTTGAATGTACAACACTTTCACTTTTATTACAAAATACGGACACGTTTATTCTCACTGTTCCGGATAGATCAAGCTTATATTTTTTAAGTGAAATATGTAAAAGTTTGTCTGTCATGTATATGTAGTGGAGTAAGAAAAATGTGTTCAAATGAAAATGACGAGCGTTTTTTTATGGTGGAGCTCGCACACGCGATGAAAACAACTTAAGAATTCGAATAAATCAACAGTTCTCGTAATAAGAGTGCACACGTTTCGTAGAAAAAATCTTCTCTTTCAAAATAGCAAAGTAAGTGTTACCCTGGAAAATTTTAAGATATTTTATTAAAAATTGATCAAGTCATTGTATTTCCACAGGTTAGTCTGTGTTCCCTTGCGCCAGTGATGCCAACTATACCTGAGTTTGCGAGCAAATTCAAGATCTATGACGAGGGTTGGCATTTCTGCACGAGGGAGCCTCCTTAATTGGCCTTTTATTCTTTATTAGCGTTCATAATTAACTCGAAATGATTCGTAGGCTTGATAATATTTATCAGTTTTAGCATTTTCACCTCAACTTTTATATTGGTTAGTTTTCAAAGTTTTTAAAAATATTTATCTTCTTGCACTGAAGAGCATTTAAATTTCTTTTCATTTCCGATGTATGTATACCAGCGTGTATAGGCGTGAATCATGTGCAATTATATCATTGCAGCAACAAATAGACTTGCAGGTAGATGCACAGTGGTCTTTGTTTTTTTCTTTTCGAATCGATGTAAGAAAAATGTAAAGTAAGAGAATAAACGTTTGTAGGGACATAGAAGTTAGTCACCAACAATAAAATTTAAATAAATTTATGAATTTTCTTGGATCCTTTTAAAAACGTTCATCACACAAAGCCTTTTTAGTAAGATCTTCCTGAAATTTCAATAGGATGTTTTTCACATGTAAAATTTGACGAGTCTTACAACAACATTTTTTAGAGATTGAATGTTGAAAAAGCTTTGATTGAACATTTAACCATATGAAGGAGTCAAATAAAAATGGAATTCATAAGAAAATTGTTTGTAGAAATCGTCCAATTTTTTTTTCGCATGACATAATACCACAGCACGAATATTTGGTAGACAGTTAAAAAGTAAACTTCCGTTGCAGTCACGGTTTTTTGTTAATTTGCTAACGATTGTTTTATTGAACGTTAACAAACATATTACTTATATAGCATGATCTTTAGGAAAACTTAGGAGTTGAAAAACGCAATAAGAAAATCTTTATGTTGATAGGTTTACAACAACAAAATTTGGTTAGCAATGTGTGTAATCATCATTATTTCAAGTGCAATTTTTACTTTGGCGAAGAAAAAACATATTGAACAAGAACATCCCGAATATCATGATTTCATGCATGATTTCCTTCAAGTTTGGGGTATATTCTGTCAGCAAGGACTAGCAGGTAAGATTTTAAAACATAAATCCACAACTTTTCCTTAAATTTTATTCATTTGCTAAAGCATTTTAAATTAAATAAACAGGAAATTATTTAAGCTATCCAGTTTTCAAGTTTGCAAACATAGTGATCTCTTTATTTTCATTTATTATAATCTCGATGTACATTGGATCATTAACAAGCTATATGAGTGTTTCATTGCCATCCATGCCATTTACGGATTTGCCTAGTTTTATCAAAGATGGAACTTACAAACTGACTGTAACAAAAAATACAGCCTATCATGATTATTTATCGGTAAATTTCTGATTTTTTTATTATTAACTATGTTCGAAAATTAATAAATTACAGTTCTTACTTATGTCAAAGGAATCGCTTGCTAACTCATTTAACGACATAAATCAGTTTATTAAAAAAGTAGAGGATATGCCGGTCACATTCAACAAAGGCTTTGAACAGGTAATAAGTTTGAACTTTACAATTATATTACATAAACTTTTGATAAGAAGTACATTTTGTGTCGGCTGAAATACAAAAATTGTACTTTACCTTGTTTTCTTATCTTAGTTTTAATATTCAACAATAAATAAATTGTTGGTAACTGTTAACATTAAACTTTTGCTGCTAAAAAAACATGGAAAAATAGGTATTGAAATTAACACACTTCGGTTATTAACAAGCTTAACATTTATTAAATAATATTGATTGATTTATTAAACAGCCTCTTTGTAGAACATCTCCAGATATATATCCAATACACTCTTACAGAAATATGAAACACTATGGCTAAATTAAATAGATATGTGTGTACAATCGTACATTGGTCTGAGCAGTGTCAGCTTCCATATTATCTGATGAGTTAGTCCCACTCATGGATTCAGTTAAGAACTTAGGAGTAGTATCTAGTAAAGACATCTCATGGAACAAACAGATATCCCATATTTGCTTTGCACTCTACGGTATACTGTAAAGATTGCGTTTTGAGGCTGGTACATTACACTGGGCAGTTGAAAAAAAATGATTTTGCAAGTCTTTTTGATGTCATATTTCGATTATGCATCACTATTCTATATAGATTTCTCAGGATACCTTGCCATTAAGTTACATCGACTGAACAACACAGTCACCGGGATAGATCGTGACGCAGAGATACAGCCTTTCTAGCGTTAAGGGTAGTTGATTGTTAGAGCAAGACGAAGATACTATTTGGAATTGGATGTGTACCATCTGTTTTAAGAGAGGGGGGGCTTGAAATAACGATAGTTCACTTCAATTTTGTAGTAAAACTATAAATGCTGCGAGGAAGTCGCCTAAACCCTCCTGGAGCAGCATTGCGTGATGAAAAAGCACATGTGAAAAATCACAGAGGTACTTGCCCGTAAAAGTGGCATTGGCCAGGAATCGAATCGTATAGTCTTCCACCTGCCAATCCACGACCTAGCAGGCTGAGCCACCACGTGCTCTATATTTATAAGTATGTGTGTACACGCCAGAAATCGCTCGCTCGTTTCACACGTTAGTTCTCCATATAAGGTGCGGCTAAAGAATTTTTGCGTTAAAAAATAATTTAAAATGTGCACTTTTGTAATGAAGTATAAATTAAAAAATGTTTAAACTACGAGTGCACAGAACTATTACATGCCTAGGTAATTTTTTTTTCTTAACTTTAAAACTTAATGCACACTTTAAATATAATGACATCATAAACATAATAAGTAATAATGTTTAGTAATTACCAATATAAATAACACACAAACCCGTTGATTATTCATAGAACCAAACAATCTAATTAACAAAGTCATAAATGATCCTACGACAAAAATCCATGACATGTACTCTGAAGTTTATTTGCCGTCTTTTTAGTTTGTTAAATACTGTTCAAATAAATACCGATAGATGTACGCCTAATGTCCTAACAATACGAAAATCAGAAACATTCAGAATGCCATATTCGAACAAAACGCCGATTAATAAATGTCTCTCGTACCAAGCAATATTGGCTTTATATAATATCAAGGAATATGATTCTCTTTTGACTTATGCATAGATAAATCAGTTTATGAGTAACATTAACGGCATATCAAATTCAAACCCTACCAAAAAAAGAACTTCTGAAAACACAAAAAAATTTTTAGATCTGTATAGAATCAAGATGGTGATTTAAAAGATTGCAGCAGCTCCTTTTTAACATATCCTAGTTTATCATTCTTGCTCTAAAAATATAATTTCTAGAAAATACAAATGTAATAACTTAGCATGAGTGTTTAGTGTTTATAAGTAAATTTAAGTGCGATGGGCTTACAATTTAAGCAATAATGTTAACGGAGTTATGTCTTGTTTAATTGAAGGACTTTTTTCGTAATCTGGTGGTGACACATCGGCTAAGTGGTCTAAAATCTATTAATGGAACTATGTGGTGTTCAATTTTTTTTTTAAATAACAAATTATATAGTGTTATAATTTGAAACAAATAGACGGTAATTAATTGTAACCATAAAAGTGTGTTTATGCATGCGTGGGTGTGTGCAGATATGTGTGTGTGCGTGTGTGCATGCGTGCGCGCGCGCGCGCCTGTGAATAATTTATTCCACATACTACGCATATTTAAATAACATATTCTAATAAAAATTAAGTTGTATTAATTGAAAAAGTATTAGTTGAACTACACTTGTAAATCAATATTATAGTACTTAGTAAGCGAGTTCAAGAATGTCGCAGATTTCACATGAATAAAGGTTATGTTAAATATTTACAAATATTCAGGCACATTTTTAAATAAATAATGCTAAAATACAGTTGTGTTAAGAATCACCGATGCTTGCTTGACAAAAGAAGCGATTTAATGATACATACTACAAGCCTTTGAGAAGAGATGTATTCTAGACGATACAAATATAATAACTTAGCATGAGTGTTAAGAGTTCAAAAATAAATTTAAGTACAATGGGCTTACAAGTTAGGGATTGATGTTAACGACGTTATGTTTCATTGAAAAACTTTTTTCATAATCTAGTGGTGACACATCGGCCAAGTGGTCCTTTCTTTCCTCTAAATACCTCGCTACGTTTGAGTTTTCATACTTATGGTATAGTCTCAGAAAGTGTAATTTAATATCATTTTCTAAAAGTTTGCCAATGCTTTCAACCAGTTGTGTAAAAGATGGTCTTAAAATTGGCTTTTCCTCCCAGAAACTAAGCATAATATCGTAGCTAAAATACAAGTAAAGAGTGTAGAGTAACAGTTTTTATGACTAGGCTTCTCACACACAAGCAGCATTTGCTTACATTTCTTTAGTGGCATAGCTAGGTTGCCTCATTCGGTAGCCTTCGATAAGTTTTTGATAAACTTTTTTAAACTTCATATTTGAGTAAGGTGATTCTGCGAGAGTAAAAAACTCCCAAAGTACTACACCAAATGACCACACGTCTGACATTGTGGAAAATACCCCGTCCCTGATGGACTCGATGGCCATCCATTTGACCGGAAACTTTCCTTCGGGTTGTTTTTTATAATTTTCGTCCTTGTACAATGCCTTTGCCAAACCGAAGTCACAAATCTTAACAATGTTGTTTTCTGCCAGTAGAATATTTCTTGCAGCCAAGTCACAGTGTAACACCTATAAAATACATATGCCAATGTGCACCGATACAAGTCAGTGTGAAATCGAGAATAGATGAACGAAAAATTTTGTATGATAATATAAATATACACCTACCTTTTTTTGAGAGAGATACTCCATGCCATTTGCCACCTGATAGGCCCATAAAAGAAGATCATGTGTGCAAAGATTCTCGAAATCTCTGTCTATGTAGTCCCCCTTGTAATTGGAGCGCCAACCTGGCTGCATGTCATCATTATTGGAATTATCACTAGACTCGCTGCAAAAGTCATGAGTCTGAGTATAGTAGACTTTAGGCATATTGTTTGACTCACTGTTGCTGGAGATTGTGTCATAGTCAGAAACAGGTTCTGACTTATTTCTTGTCCTTTTAGATAAAAAAAAAAAATTTTATCAAAATTTTTAGCATATGGCAGTTCATAGGTAATCAAAATATTTTGTTTATTTTTGTTAATCGTATTTATACTTTTTTCACTTAAGACAATCTTTTGCATTCTACTGTTATTTAAGGTTATTTTTTGCAAAAGTTTTGTAACTTTACTAGTTCAGCATTTTAACTTTTTTTTTAAACATTAAAATAGAATAAATATGAGTAAATCAGTGTAAATGTATATTGTACGATGTACATTACGAATTTATGTAGCAATAAGGAGTTTTTTTACCACTACAAAAGCAGCAGTTCCTGGATGGCTATGAAGGTTGGGCAATGCGAATGAAGGTTTATTCAAAAGAAAATTGGCGTATGTATTAAACACGTATGCATTACACAGCGATACATATACAAGTAAAAGCAAAAACTATACGAGTAACTTCAGTGTATCCTAATAAAAAACAAATTTACCATGTTTCTTGAAAATATTCAGTAAATTTCTAAGACTTTTATCGTGTAAAAAATGCCGAAATTGAAAACACCAAACTTACGGTTGACCATAAGGGTTTTTATAAAAGATAAAATTAAGGTTGTACCAAAGGTATTGCTCTCCAGTTTTAATTGTCTTTACGCAAGATACTTATAAATTTAGTTCAGTTATTTTTTAAGACTCAGAAGTTAAACATATTAAGTAGGCTCTTGCATGGGTCTTCGACGAGTATAATAGTACATTATGATACTAGTGCGATATTGGGAAGTGCGACTCGCTGGCGTTCGTGTGTGAGCTGATACGCGTGCGTCAATCATATATAACCAGTCGCACGTGTAGTGTATACAACTTTTTGACAAAACGTACGCGGGGAGCGAGATTTAGAGCCATCGAATGTGGCTCTACAAATACTTTGATGTACATACGCACTCGGACAAGTGTTCATCACGAGCTGTGAGTCGCATGAGTAAATCATGGCCTTTAAAGTCATAACAGATGGCTTGCAATCGAGTCCCCACGTACGGCGTGTTGGAAAGTGATTTTCTCTTTAAGAAAGTGTGATAAATATAACGGCATATATATGTTATCATAAAAAATCTAAAAATATTTGATGCCAAAGTTAACGTATTATCATACTTACAGAGCCGTGCTTGAATACTGTCAATCTTGGTTGTAATCTAACTGTGACAGCATATTCTTTCGACAGAAATGTAAATATTTTAAAGAAAAATTTCTGATTTTTCAGATTATTACTAAGTAAAATTTAGCTTGGTATGGAAAACATCGGGATATTTATGGTACAAGTAGGTATCTACAAGAGTCTCTATATTAAATGTATGTAAAGACGCGCTGTTGCCTGCTACTTGATGACTTTAACCAATTAGCCCGATATTCTCAGAATAAGCGTCAGTAGGCAGAAATTAGATCTGTCAGTAGGTTGCAAGAGTAGGTTGCAAGAGCCTTCTTAAGTTGTAGTGGTTTGGTTATATCATTTTTAAAATTATCTTAAAGGCCAAATGGAATATCATTTTGTCTAGTTTTGATTATCTATACAGATGAAACGTGGATTATCGTATCAACAGAAGAATTCCAAGTATTGAAAATGACTTGTTTTTCCTTAATCCTTAATAATTCTACAAAAGTAATACTTTGGTGTTAAAATAATACCTCCAGTTAATCTTTCCAATAGATAAATTGATTTTACCCGTATTTAAATCAATTTGATTGATAAAACTTTCTTGATGACGGATAAGATAGCTTTGCACATTTCCAAATCTGCAGAGTTCGACGATTACAAAAAGTTCACCTTAAAATTTTTCATTTTTTTGACGTTGTTTTTCAAAGATAGTTTTTACAATTTCATGTTAATTCTTACGTTTGGCTATGTTTTTTGTGCAAGCGCCCAGAAGATTAATGACATTTAAGTGTTGTCCTAGATAAATCATGATTTTCAACTCTTTCACCAGTGCATTGATGTACATTAAATCTGCATTTTTGCGAACTGTTTTCACAGCCACAGTTGTTATAGACTTTTTAGCAAGAATCTCATAAGCTTCTGCTTTAAATACAACTCCAAAAGCTCCACTTCCCAATTATTTGTCTATAGTTAGATAATAAAGAGATTTAAGTTATCAATAATCTCTTTGATGCTGATAATCTTCTTACGGGACGATTTCATTATCATTTACCTAATCTTAATTTTTCTCTAGAAAATTCCCATCTTCTGTCGTAAGGAATAAGTTCTGCTTGCTCGTCTATTGGTAGTTCTGAGTTTATTAGATGGAGTGCTCCTTCTTCAAAAAGCGTTGGACCACTTTCTAAGAGTTGCTTTTCTCTAAACTTAAAGTTTTTTTACGTTTAACGGTAAAATTATGCAATGGCATGTTTTATCTTCTAATTATATGCATTTCAGTAATATTTACAATAATATAGTTACCTTTCCATACTGTGATTTTAAATAAAAGTAAAATGAAAGAGACGTAAGAATTGTAATGAACCACACTGTCATTCCAACCCAAACATGAAGCTTTTTATTTCTTAAAGTCAAAATCAATTTCTTTCATGAAAATAGTGTTTTATCTCTTAATAAAAAAAAAAGTAAGTCAAGTGATTAAAAAACCCTTAAACACTATTGATGTTTAAAACATTATAAAAACAATACATCCAACTTGAAGTAGTTACTAAAATATGTTTTTCCCATTTTTTTGCAGTGAAAGTTAAACGAATCTCTTATGAGAAGCACAGATAACTTTACTAAAATAAGTAATCAAAATCAATGAGCTTGTAATTGACTATTAATTTTTTCACGAAAATTTGTATAATATTATACGGTATAAGATTGACTCTTCAATTAATTATTCACTCTGTGTCCCGAAAAACAAGGTATTATCATGTACGTTGACAATTATTACCTTTTACAATAATTTTTTGATAATTTGTTATCGGCTGAAAGCCATTCTCTGCAACACACGAATAGTTACCACTGTCACTTTTCAAAAGATATCTTATAATTAATTTCTGATTTCTGTCCTCCAAACTAAATTGTTTTGAGGGATCCAGAGCTGTCCCGTCTTTAAACCACATCACTTTGGGTGTAGGTATGCCTCCAACGTTACAGAATAAATAAATAGGATTTTTAGGATCTTTTTCCAACCGTGTTATTACATTATCATTCATATTTTTACGAACAAAGTAAGCTGGAACTGTAAGTTAAAGGTCATGGGTAATGTCAATAAATATCAATTCTCTATAAAACTAGTTTTTTGAGTAATTGTTTTACAAAATAATTTTTTTGATCCTACCGTTGATCTTTAGAGAATACTTGTCTCGATTTCTTTTTTTTAATTTTTTTGCTATACAATAATAATCTTTTTCATCCAAACGACTCACATTACTAATCATCATAATAGCACGATGAGTATAGTTAGTTTTTTCAAAAGTGACTTTTACTCTTTCTAAAACACAAAATCAAGATTATTTAATTTCAGATGAATAATACTAACTTTATATTCTAGTCTAGTGCTATCATTACATAAATCTGTAACTAACCAGAACCTGAAACTTTTATGTTTTTATCGTCGTACCACAGAGCCTTGGAAAATTCACGAATGACGGCTGTACATGTAATAGGAATATTTTGACCTTCATAAAATTTTGTTTTAGGCTGTATGATTCCAAAAGCCTGATAAGGAATTCCATCTTAACAAAAAGTATCAGATGTAAGAAATTAATGTGAGACTGGAAATTATGATATTTAAAATTAAAAACAAAATAATTCTTGAGATATACGGACCCGTAATATAAATATCTTGTTTTTTTCCAGTACATTCATAATTGTTGCATGCCATACACTTTATTGTAGACTCTAGTTGCAGATTTATTGTTACTGTTAACTTTTTTTCCGTATTACTATTTTGGTCATTTATTTGAGTACCATCACAAAACTTTATTATAAATTAAATTATACAATTTTTTAGTACAAATAATTACTGTGCATAATTATCAATAATAATAATGTATTACTTTTTGAATCAAACTTCCCTCTATCTTCAATATTTTTTCAACGTTTTGAGACTTTTGTATCCACGATGTGGTAAAATTTAATCTACTTTTTACAAAGCAAACAAATGTCACAGTATCGTTGAAGTTATAGTAATTTTGAATATACCTTGTATTAAACCTAACTTTCGGTTTGCCTACAAGCAAAAAGAATTTTATTAACATTGTTTTAAAGAAGAGTAAGAATTTCAACCAAATATATTAAAAGAGATAAAATATGGTACATAATATTAAAAATGCTCAAAACTTGTAAAGTTACAACTATTTAAAACGTGATTTTGTGGACCTTATTTGTACCCATGTATACATTATAACACTAAATCTGATATTAGAAAATATGTTTTCTTATAGGGTCAGTTAAACATGTAGTATAAACGGTATAATAATTATACCACATATTTTTTTGAACACTTCTTCTTGAAAATTTATAACAGACACAATTTATTCGTTAAGCAAACATTCTGAGTTATGTGTTTTCAATTTTCATGCATGACATATTTTGAATTATGCTACAAATGGTGCTGATTCTAAACGTGTGGTGTAATGATTTTAGCTTTTAGTTTCAGAAGATAAGATATTTTGGACTAGTGGGACTTAGTATTTAATAGTGCAAATAAACTGTCTATTTATTCACAGTTTTAAGTGCTGTGCAGTTTCAAATGCTTCTAATTTCTAAGTGTGTGTGTGAGTGAGATCATGGAAAGTGATTTTTAGTGTACCAAGAACTTTAAAATTAAACGTTGGGCTCTTTTTTCCTGAAATATTTTCTGCTGTGAGAGTAAATATGCCATCATCGAGGGTCGAAATACTCTTGATGCATAAGCTACTTGTCCTATCATTGTACTTTGTTAATATTGAGTAGCGCAGACTGTAAGAATAAACTTTGCGCCCATTATTGTCTACCCTAAAAAGCAATAAACTTTTTAATTACAGATAATGAGTCCTAAATTTATCGGTTGAACTTTTTAAAAAGTTTTAAGTGTTACCAATTCAATTTAGGTGTCGGACATGCAGTAACGTAAGCCACAAAAGTTACAGATCTACCATAGATGCCGTACACGTTTTTATTAACAGATGACAAATTAAGGTATGGGTTGTTAGAATCTGTCAAAATAAAATGGTAATCACGTTTTGATCATAACTTATAATTAAATGAAAAATGAGGGTCCACAACTTACCATACACGCAAATATATAAATCAGAACTTTTTGTTTTATTGAACGATGATTTCACTTGGCATTCATAATTTCCTTGATCGCCAAAAGTGGCATTGTCAACAATAAGCTCAGATGTTATTATATCAAATTCGTCATACTTTTCCACAACTTCTTTAGCAGTGTTAGAAATTATCCTAAAGGTCTAATTTATATACTTTATTTATAATTTGAACAATCGGCTTAATTTATGCCAAACACAAAGTCTTGCATGTAAGGCACGACCAGTCTACGAGGTGACAGAGGAAAAAGTGTTATTTAAATAACAGGATTCAGTTTTAATGTATTCTGTAATCATATTTAACTAAGTGTTGGTATCAATATGCTAACTTTAAATTTGAACTAACACTTTTTTAGCAATCTTAAAACGCTTTCTTGGATTATGTTTCTACACAATAACACTGAAGGTAGAATTAGCTAATACAAAAAAGTTGGTTTTTTAAAGATCTATAATTTCCGTCTTAAATATTTTGTGCAAGAATTCGTCGTTAAAAAATCATGTGGTATAAAACGATTTTTTGGTTACTCTAAGAAAATTTTTTTATTAAATCGTTAAGATGGCACTTTAAAGAAAAACTTACTGTTTAAAAGTTTCATTTTGATGATTTCTACAACTTTTGAATTCAACATTTTGTTGTCGAATTGAAATTCATTTTTATAATAGGCAGAAAACGTTTTTTCCGCTGTTTTCACTTCTATTTTGCTTTATAAAGCATCCGTATTGCGATCTATAGCAAAGTGTATGAAACAAGAAAGTTTTATTTTAATAAGATCTACAACACTATTTTGAATAAGTAAGTGAAAAATGAGTGTGAAATAATTTACTAAAAAAAAAACTGGTTTTTTGTTTCCGAGCGTTGCCCAAAAAATACTGTGCAAATTGTTCCTTTCGATAAAACTTGTTCAAATGTAAACCATCAGCTTACTTGAAGTTACGGAAAATTTCAGCTTATTTGCATCATAATAACTTGAATTAGTCAAAAAACTTGATGACAAACATACATCTTTACACACGTACACTATGAGCCTAACTTAGATCACCCTTTTACTAGGTTAAAAACTCATTTTATACTAAAAATATACAATTTACAAGTGGTTACATTTTTTGCTCTGACAAAATTATAAGGCACTTACATAGATTGGTCGTGCCTAAAATGTATTAAGAATATTTCATGCAAACTTAGTCTTTATTAAAATTCTTTTATGCTTTTTAGCATATCAAATTTTACCGTATTTTGTGGAACTTTCCAAATAATATTATAAAGCGCTTCCATCCTGATTTCGACGAAGCATTTAATACTTAATTTCGAGCCAATAGTTACGTCGTTTGGACCATTTACTTTTACAATCGGCTTACTCATACATAAATGATATGAGAAGAAAAAACCTTAATTCTTATTATGTATGATGAATTGCTTTGATTTACTGAGCATGTAAATACATTCAGGGTTATAATTTCTGTATCCTCAACGATGTAACCAATCTTAGGATCAAAAGTTATCTTTTTGCTGGGTTTAAGTACCTTAGATAGTTAAAAGTCAAAAAGATGTTACAATACACACTTGACAAATAAATAGTTTGATAGATTTTATTACTTTTTGCCATTTTTTTAAAGTAACTTTAAATTCAGGGGAAGTTGTCTGACACGGAAAAGTTATGTATCCATTACAACCGGAAGCGAGTAAGTAATTTCCTTTTTCATTAACATGCACAAATGGATTTTTTTAGCTGTAAAAAAAATTAACCATTATTTTAACGGACTTACAAAGCAGTAGTATTGTAAATAAAAATTTTTTTTTTGAGAAAAGAAAAAAATTTAGTGTTTTTCTTACATTTAACATAAACGTACATCCAGCTTTTATATTGATCGTTGTAGTTCTTGAAGGTCATTTTCGTTATTTTTTTGCTTTCATCAGCACAGCAATACCACCCAGTGTCTCCAAAAACAGCTGATGATCTTATAAATGTCTTGTGAGTGCTCCTGTGTTTTGG